CCACGAAGAATTGAGGCAGTTCTGAAGGCAAAAGGGGGTCCAACCCGTTACTAGCGTGGTGTACCTAATAAAGTGGCCGGTGAGTGTATATTAACTACATAGCGCCATCCTCATGCTGTACATGACTTTCTGAACCCAGCCCCTAAACACTGACCAAGGACTTTGTGAAAACTACACCCTTTTCACTGACATAGCCTTGAAAACACACCCCTTTTTACTGACTACCTGAAAAAGGTTCCCCTTTTTTCACCGATGAACTGTAATAAAACACCTCTTCAATTATCACACACATTTTGCATTGCATTAAAGTTTCTATTCCTTATTTTACATATTTTTTCAATGATTTCAGGGTTATATTATGACCTATGCTGTATCTGAGACAAGACTTATAAGATTCATCCATCCATATCCATCCATCCATCCATCCATCCATCCATCCATCCATCCATCCATCCATCCATCTATCCTGTGCTGCTTTATCTGCATGAAAAGAAAATCGGTACTAATCAAGATTATAAATAGCTCATACACACTGGAAAAGAAGTCAGATGTCTAATTCAGAAAGCCACTAGCATAACTTACAGAAGTGTATATAGGCTTAATGTTTGTATGTGACTGGAGGAGCCTCTTCAGACCACAGCATTTTAGTCCAAAACTAGTCTTTTTCACAAGAACATGAAAAAAGAGCAATAATTTCCCCTCAAACACATATTTTCACTTTCTCCTGAAAGATTTGGTGAAATATTTTTATCCAGAGTGAGTCTCCTTTGTTTGTGTATAAAGATGTAGATTTTACTTATTTTCATACCTTGTACACATTTGGGAACATTCACAAAAGTATTAAAATCAGTTTAAATCATCAGACTAGTGAGTGAATAATTACTGGATAAAACTCATTTATAGATCAGTCAGAAGAAAGAAAAATACATGGTGAAGGGAAATAGTGAAATTTTCAGCCTCTTTCAGAAATCAAAAAGACTAGATTTATACTACAATCCACAGATTTTAGGACATTAATATATTTTACAAAGACCCATCATAAACACAGTACCGCACACTGCACATGTACCTGGCCCTGCTTTTTAGTGGTTCCTGCTCCTCTTTCCTGCACCTCCTGCTTCTCCTCACCCTGCTCATCTGTCCCTTCCTCCTCCTCTTCACTTCTGTGACTGGCATCAAACTCCATGACTGACTCTGGCCTTTTCAGCTACCAATAAATAAACAGCAATGATGCATGATTTTACAGCACTTTTGCAAATAATTCAGTGCAAATAGGCCTACAACATAAGGAAAGTCACACACACACACACACACACACACACACACACACACACACACACACACACA